TGAAAACTACTTCTTTCTGGGACAACCAATCAGATAAAGGAGAACCCGACGCAGGTGGTTGGTCAGCGTTCATAGCCAATCTCCTCCTTTTCCTTGACGGCTGCTGGCTCCTGGAAGTGGATAGGCCCGCTTCATGGATATCAAAGGAATATCCATTAAAGTTCTTGGGAGTCAGGTACAGGAAACCTTCCCAGCGTCACCCGATTTCTAATCAAGATTGTCGATAACGATCTCGGTTACTAATCGTCATGTGCGTGTTTTTCTGCCTTTCCTCTTTCTTATACATGAGCAATAAAAAAAATTCTGCACACTTCCAGCCGTATTCCATTTCATTGCCTATGAAATCGCTATTTGTACGAGAGAACGTGACTTAGTCCTGTACAGTGGTGACGTCCCCCTCGACTTTAAGAGAACCTATCTAGTCTGTTAACGACCAGAACAGTAGTTTTGTGTTATGGCCCATTGGCTTCACTCACATGCAATGGCGAAACCTGAAAATCACTGCATTTTAACGTGCATCGTCGAATGTTTTCTTATCTATTCATCCAGTACGTGGAACGTGACATTCGCGAGGCTCGACAAATCTGGCGTCGTGCATGCACGGTACACTTGCGCTACAAACCCACCATCCACTGGCATTGGGGCTGTTTCGAAGATCGCTATCCGTCGGATCTGGACAATCCTCCTACTCTACCGGTCCGCACATGTTTGGATATTCTCACGGAGCTGGAAGCACGTTTAACCGATAGCGCTTTGGTTTGTTGTCGACGTGCGGACGCAATGCGACGCGCTGGAAAACCGGTTAGTTTCGTTGAGGGAGCTCTGTTTCACTCATTGTGGTCAATTTCATATTTTTTATGCTCGTTGACATGCAACTAGCTTCTGCATAAATTGATCCCGTCCGTAGACCGTTTTAGCTCTATTCATGGTGTGTGTATACTGGTGCCTCAGTATCTCCTAGGTCCCTATATAATGGGCTATTATAGAAGATCCAAGTCAAGATATCAATCTTATTACATCAGATACAGTCAGTAATTAAAAATGACCTAACCACTGTAGATTGATAGATAGGTTGAACTAAGCCGTAGTAAAAGTGAAATTTCGACCTGGATCTTTTAGAATATCTGTATTTTGGGGTCTTGGACATACTAACACACATGTGTGCTTTGTTG